TTCAGATTGCCCTGTCATCTGTGCACCTGATAAAATCCCTCTAAGCGTGTGATTCGGAAATCTGGCCATGCTGCTCCTCTCTCTGGTTCTTTCCCTATAGTGGAGAAGGTTTTCAGATTGTTTTGGATGATGGAGCATCTTGTGATGAGGACAGGGCGTGGATATTCCCTGGAACCTGACAGATTGCAGGATGCTTGTGGCCTGTGATGCCCTGGACTTGTGGATGTGGGTGATCTTGCCTGAGTGCAACAGCGCTGTCACTTGGTTTCCTGTGTTGCTAGGGAGGGGCTGTGTTGGTACTGTTCGCTTTTTTTTAGTGGAATCTGGTACAAAATACTAGAAGGTTTAAATTTAACCCTTTCTGTTCCCCTACCACTTATGTGGGATGACTGGAATCACATTAGGTGCAGTGTTGCGTGATCTAGGAAAGCCCAAATGAGAGAGCATTACTTTGGAGAGATGGCAGTCTCATAAGCAGGCACTCTTCCCTGTTAATGAAGGCACCTCAGGCATAATCGAGCTGTTAATTCATTTCAGATATGTTGTTGCATCTGACTTTCTCAACTAAGTGATTAAAACAAGAAGTCACTTGGGGAGTGGCTTGTGTGATGTTAGTATTAATAGGATGAAAACAATCAGAAAGTTAGGGGCATTCTTGTGAGGTACTGAAAACCCTTAATGAGGCCTTTAATTATGCAATAACTTCTTTGCAAGCAAACACATGCCTATTATCATTATTATTGTGCTGATAGTTGATATCCCACTGACATGAACAATTTAGAGAATTCCAAGTATTATGCAGCTCTCCTGACAGCTTGGAATAGGCTGACACAGCTACAGCTACCTATTTAAGAAGATTAGCCTGATTTTATTTGCATAAGAATTTAAAGTGACAAAACCACTGGCCACACCCAGGAAAGGATCATTAAAAATTAATTACTGCACATTCTTTTATTGGCTGTGTGTTTAGACTTCTGAATGCTACAGTAAATGCTAAATCCCAAGAGAGATGCCCTGGCATATCTTCCCAGGTTTTCTAGGTTCTTAGAATGATAAAATCATAGAATGTACTGAGTTGTAAGGGACCCATCAGGATAATCGAGTCCAACTCCTGGCCCTGTGCAGGAATCACACCATGTGCCTTCTTGGGTGTGCAGAGAAAATGTCTCATTATCCATTCTGTCAAAGAAAAAGGGATCTTGTGTACAAAGTACATAAGTATTCTTAAGTGGGCATTCCCTAGCAGTGATGCCAAGAAAATCTTTGCATTCCTTGTGTTACTCGTATGCAATTCCAGCAGTTCTGTGTGTCTGTGTTGGCCAATACTCCGAGATATCAGGCTAGAGCAGCCATAAAACAGTGGCTTTCATTCTCAGCTGAGATGCCGCTGGTCCCGCTGGCAGCAGAGAGGAGCCCTTCAGGAAAGACAGGCATTTTATCCTGGCATCTGCTGAAGGGAGGCTGGTTGCAGAGGAGAATTCATCCTGGCAAGCTCGGGTTTCTGCAGGTAAGCGACAGCAGAGAAAGAGAAAAACCAGATGGGAAAGAAAAAAAAAAAAACCTTACCTTTTTAAAAGCCTCAGCCACGGGCTGTTAACTTTTTGTTGCCGCAGCAGTGCCGGTGCTCTGGGATGCTGGGAACGGGATCCAGCTCCCGCGGGCCGCGCGCGACCCCTGCCGGCACCGGCGGCACCGCCGGGAAAATCATGGAATCACGGGATGGCCTGGGTTGGAAGGGACCTTAATGATCACCCCGTTACAATCCCTTGCATGGGCAGGGACACCTTCCACTATCCCAGGTTGCTCAGAGCCCCATCCAACCTGGCCTGGAACACTTCCAGGGATGGGGCAGCCACAGCTTCTCTGGGCAACCTGTGCCAGGGCCTCCTCATCCTCCCAAGGAAGAAGTTCTTCCTAATATCCCATCTAAACCTCCTCTCTGTCAGTTTGAAGCCATTCCCCCTTGTCCTGTCACTCCAGGCCCTTGTGAATAGGAGTGGTGAGAACACCTTTCCAAATGGCCTGCGTGGCTGTGTCAGAGAATCCAGGCTGAAAAGCACCTGGAAATGAAATTACACCCAAAGCAGCCCCTGATGACAGTGATGGCACTGTCTGGCAGTGCTTCTGAAATGCATCTTTGTGGTGAACTGTACCTCAGGAGTTTCCAACCTTCCCCAGCCAGGAACTGTGCACCAAAATCTGCATGTGACTGAAAGCAGCGTGACAGCAAACCACACCTTGGAGAGCCAGGGATGAAATCAGACACAGAGGTACAGAAGGGATATCTGAGGCTTTCTGCTCCATCATGGACTGAGGCAGGTCCTGGTTCCCAGGATTCTAGAAGGTACATCACTAACTTGCCCGTGCACTCAGCATCTCTTCCTGACACTCTCAGGGCAGTTAAGGGACCTAAAAGTGATCAAATGTCTGACCTGAACTGATTTCCAGGGGAGCAGAGAACCAGCGTTTGTCTGAAATCTCCAAAAACATGTGCCTGGATGTCCAGGGAAACTTCCACCCCAAGAAATAACATATGTATTTCTGTTTCCATATCTAAACCTCTTATATGTGGCTTAAGTGTTTTTTTCCAAGGCTGTCAAGGTTGTCATTTATATAGAATCTAAATTCGCTGCAAAAGACTTCTTTGTCAACTTGAACCTCTCAGTCTAGGGAATGAGAATGGGAAGACACTGCACACAGTAGGAAGAGTGACACTGGAAGACCACAGTGTGCTCTTCGACCACTGAAGCTCTCTAGTGAAAATGTTCTTCTTGTCAGTGGTGCTGACAAAGGATCCACGTAAAGAGGGATGCACTCATGCTGTTCCAAGGCAGGATAGACATCCAGGAATTTAGAGCTCCACACTTGTCTTGCCAGAACATTCTGCCATGAATTTAAGGAAGTCACTTAACATGAAATCTTGTTCTCACAGTAGTTCATGGGAGTCTTGCCATGGAATTCAGCCTTTTAATAAACAAAAATGTAAAATGTCCCCTGTTTGACATCAGAGAGGAAGTGCTTTGGGGCCAGGACTGCCTCTTGCTTTGATGGTTGGTAGACCTTTAGTCCATCAGTTACACATGGAACAAGGAATAAGAGCTATATAACTGAATGAGAGAGAGAATTTAAGGCTCTGATTATTGGAAAAGATTGTTGTGCAACAATGACTGGTGCACACCTTAAGCTCAGGTTTTTCACAGACCATGAGCCAGGGGAGAGAAAAAGGAGTGCAGATCCCTGCAAACCAAGGAGCCAGATTGGTGGCAGAAAGGGCAGACTGATTTAATACTGCACGGAGGTCAAAACAGAAACTTTAGCATCAAAGAGAGGAGCAGTGCTGGGAGAGCCCAGAGCTCACAAGTAGCACTTACCAGAGGTATCATATAAACTTAACCCTGCTGTCATTATTCCTGTTGGAAAGAAAGGAGGTGAAGGCCACGACCTGCCAAGCAGAGGTCAGATGTTACAGACCATCAGACAAAGGAAGTGACAATGGGGAAAGGTTCTTCTCTGGAGCATTACCAGATGGTAGCTAATCTCAGTCAAGGGAGAAGGCACAGCCACCAAATCTGCACAGGCTCCCTGAACCTGACACTCAGGGGTTATCAAGGGAAAAGACTGTTCTCCCAACTGTTACAAGACAGACTATGCAGTGCAACTCACTCATTCAGTTAATCACAGTGCTGTGCTGATTTGGGACAGAATTTTCCAAAGTATAACAGTATAACGTGTATTTTCTTGTTAATTTTTTCTGCATAAAAGCTGTCATCTGGAATAGTCTGAAAATTTCTACTAATGGAAGCTTTTCCTCCTGACCCTTCTGCTTTTTAGTGCAAATGTCTTTGTTTTCTAATTTAGAGGAAGGCACAGTCAGTTGGATCAAGTGCTAGCATGAACTGGCAGAGCTCTGTGATCCACACTGGGGTCTGTCCTAGGCACTTCTTTTATGATAGTAGTGGTAGAAATGCTGTTGTCCTTGCATTCAGCTGCAGGTCTGCTCACAGATTTACTCAGAAACTCCTTCTAGCTGAGCTCACATAGGACTCCTGCACATTTTCATGTCCATGCTGGGAACAAGGAACACACAAATGGACATACTGGTAGAGGTGAGCTCAGGAGTCCCAGAGTGGCACCTACTCTAGGTAGTGGGGCACAGCCCTGAGAATGGAAACCTCAGTGCTTCTGGTTGTATTCATCACTTGTATTCATGAGTTGCATTTAATCTTGTCTGAGTAGCTTGTGTTTTCACCATGCTCGTGTTTTCCTGCCTGGACAAGGAGGAATAGAGCCCCCATTGTTGTGAGCAGCTGCCACAAGAGCTGCGTGGAGAATGCAGAGCTGAGACGTCGCTGTGCCCAGCGAGAGCTTGAGACTGGGTTTATATCCCTTCCAGTCATTTTCCTATATGCAGGAATAGTGGGTTCACTAGGACTCCTGCTGGGTTAGATTGCTCTCTATCTTTTGGACACCTCAGTGGTGTGGTTTGAGTCCCTCAGTTTGGCAGAGCACTCTAGAGGTTTAAAAAAATAATCCAGCCCACAGAAAACTGGCCATTAAGCACCTCCATGAAATTCGGTGTGTGCTTAAGTGTCAGGTTGTGTCTTTCATTGCTGTCATGGCCAGATCTTCTCAGCATTATGCAGGTGAGCAGTGTCACACACATATTTTTTTCCACAATCAGAAGAAGTAGTGAAAGCATCTTTACAGGCCTGTTGTTCGTTACCTTAGTACCTGGAAGGGTTATGATCTGATTTAAGGTCCTCACGTTTTCTGTACCTCTTGGAAACAGGGTGCAGAGCAACACACGCTTCTTAAAATAATCAGCTGTGCAATGTCTCTGTGTTTGTGTCTACCTGTAATAAAATTCTGTGGGATGTCCAGTTCTGAACAATGGAAGTGAGGAGCTGTGACACAGTCCAAGGAGGTGTGGGGGTGAAGTTCAAAGCCATGACGTAACAAAACCCTCCTGAGCCTGCTGTGGAACACCATCAAGTGATCCTGCCATGTGCAGGGAGCTGTCTTCCCAACCCACTTTCTGGGCACCTCAGCCACCCTGTAATGAATCCAAGGTTACGAATACAGCAGAAAATACAGGTTTTACCCATGATGTAAGCTGTAAACCCCCTCTGAACTTGTGATGCTTTTCTGTTGGCATCTTCTGAGTTCTGCTTCATCTTTTGAGTTGACATTTCAGAGTGTTTTTCCTGTGCTAAATGTGCATAGCTGGCCATGGCAGGAAACAGAATACACATTGCTTGCAAAGAGCCTTGCTCTGTCTGTTGACAAAGTTTAACAATCTTGAAATTCCCTTCAAAATTTAGTTCTCTTGAAGCTGGGACATCTTTCTGGTTTCTTTTAGGCATCTTATTTTTATTGTGTGAGATGGACTCTGAAGGGCAACCAATCCTTTTAAAGAGAAAGGACTGTTTCCCCCCCCCCCCCCCCCCCCCCCCCCCCCCCCCCCCCCCCCCCCCCCCCCCCCCAGCTGGCAGCTATTTATTAAGAAATGGCCACAAAATGACATAATTTTAGAACTGCAGCAGTAGTGCAGAGCTGGCTGGAACTCAGAGCTGCAGTGAAAACTTTCAGCAGAATTTCAGATTTTGTTGGACAACAGAGTTGGAGATTTTGACTAAAATGTTTCCAAAAATAGCAAAACTCGCACCCACACAGAGAGCTGAACGTGAAACCTCAAGTTTTGATGGGAAGGAAAAAAAGCGATGACATTTGCCTTCCAGATTTGGATCAGCCCCAGCAATAAACTTTGCTTAACATAGGAACCAAATAGACATAATAGGAATTAAACTGTACAAAGATCATAAACAGAAAATACAAGAGACTAATTCAAGTATCAGATATGCACAAGGCAGAAAGTTGAAAAGAGCAGAGAAGAAAATGAAATAAAGGGGGAACGTATAGCTTATATGTTGAAAAGTGAGACCAGAGTGGAGATGGAGGCACAGATGTGAGTTGTAGTGGTGCAGGGCAGAAATGCTCCCACCCCAGCCATGGTGAGCTGCAGTCATGGACAAGGCAAGGAGTGCAAGGGAGGGATTTGGGAGCAAGCCCAGAGGTGATCAGAGGGATGGAGCACCTCTCCTTATGAGGGAATGCTGAGAGAATTGGGATTGTTCAGCCTGGAGAAGAGAAGGCTTTGGGGTTACCTAATTGTGGCCTTCCAGGACCTGAAGGGAGCCCACGAGAAAGATGGAGAGAGATTATTTCCAAGGGCCTTGAGTGACAGGACAAGGGGCAATGGCTTCAAACTGGTAGAGAGTAGGGTTAGATTGGATGTTAGGAAGAACTTCCCTGTGAGGATGGTGAGGCCCTGGCACAGGTTGCCCAGAGAAGCTGTGGCTGCCCCATCCGTGGAAGTGTTCCAGGCCAGGTTGGATGGGGCTCTGAGCAACCTGGGATAGTGGAAGGTGTCCCTGCCCATGGCAGGGGGATTGGAATGAAATGATCTTTACAGTCCTTCCAACCCAAACCATTCTGTGATTCCATGACTCTATGATTCCATGACTCTATGATTCTGCACTTTCTCCACAGCACATGCAAAGGAACCACCACAGTGCCCAAAATGCCAGGGTGTGCTACATGAAAGGGCAAGAGAACAGGAGGACTGGTGATGCAGAGAGGTGGGATAATGTTGAGGAAGGTGCTGGAGCTGGGAAGGGGAAAAGGAGGAGTGTTTGCTGTGAACAGCAGTTTGCAGAGACCTCTGCCAAGCTGGGGCTGGAGAGGTGGGAGTGGAGCCACCTGCTCACACTTTGCACACTGGTGGCAAACGCAGCTGACTTGACCTGGTTGGGAACTGAGATCACACTGAGGGAACCTCAGGGAGCTGGTGGTTGCCAGGAGAGCCTTGTGCCACAGCTGAGCTCCCTCAGACCTGTCTATCCACCAGGCCTGGGGCTCTGGGAAGTGCCAACAGGGAGTAAGAGCCACACACTGGAGAGGCAGGAGCTGTTTTGGGACAGACCGACAATAACTTCGACCAACAGATCCTACAAGCTCCAAAGGCTCAGTCCCTGCCTCTGCCAGAGGCTTTCTGCGTGCCATTGGTCTCACTGCCCCTGGCTGCAAAATGGAGACAGCAAATGTCACCCCCCTCTTGTTTATCTCCTCAGGCACTTTAGGAGCGGTTTTTGAGTGCTGGGTTTTGCTCCCTGTGTGTCTGTGCTCCATGCAGGGGATCCCGGGGTCACCGCCGCGGGACAAAACAGCGGGAACAACAATAACTGTGCAGTCCTGGCACAGGAGGGGGGAGGATTGTTTCCAGCCTTCGCAGCCCACGAGTGTGGGTACAAATGACAGATACAATCGGGCCCCAGGGTTTTTTCTTTACGTTTATATGTCTGGGGAAGGATGTCAGTGGCCGTTCTCAGCCACTCTGTTGGACTGGAGCTAAAGATTTGGGCAGGTGGGGGAGAGAGAGGGAGAAATGCATTGAATTGCCATCGAAAGAAACATGCATAATTCCTAGAAATGCTTTGTGTCAGCTTCAAAGATCCTACTGGGAATGCAGCTTATTCTCTGACCAACATGTTTCCTTTGCAAAAGGCAGAGACTGACGTATTTTGGGATGTTTTTCAGTCTCCAGCAGCAGGCAGAACCTATGTTTTCTCCCACTGACATGCCTGTAAGTTCAATCAGCTGAAGTGGATTAAATGTAGGACGAGGCAAGTTCACATGTCACTCCAAGAGGACCTTGAGACAAACTGAGGTCTCACTGTTGTGACTGGAGGTTCTGTTTCAGATCTCTGCTGCTCTGTGAAGGATGAAGCGGGAAAAAGGGAAATAGTTAAGCCTTCTGGTGGAAAACATCATGGGAAGCAGAGAAACTAATGCAGCACACCTCTGAAGGCCCACTGTAGAGTTGTGGTTAAATCTGAATGAAGTTCTTATCCTCCCATTGGAGTATAAAAGTGGTATTTCTGAAGTTTTGCTGGTTTGGACTTGATAAAAACAAACAAACGAACAAAACAGTTAAGCACTGTTACTTAATAGAGCTTTAAATGCTAACAAGCCTCTAATGTAAAACTATCCACTTTAAAACTGTGGGGGTGCTGGCCATGGTGAAGTCTAGGGTTTAACCTCGAACAGTGATATTTTTTTTTTGCCTAAGCTTTGAAGCGTTTATGGCACACTGCTTGTGGTGACAATCCTACTTTCAGTAGCAATACCTCTGCTTCCAAGCCAGGTCTGTCATCTCCTTTCACTGAACTCTGCAGTCTCGTGAAAAAAATTCTGTGTATTAAAAAAAATAAAATAAAAAAGCTGCTTTAAAACCAGCTAAAACCAAACATATTTCTGAAACTATCTGAATTCTTAAAAAGAATGGATCTTTCTTGCATTTATCCTGCCATTATATACACCAGTGTCATCACTGCATGGCCTCTACTGAACCAGACAGGATGCAAAGACTAAAGCCTTTATCCAGTTTCTCTTTGATGAGCACTCAGTGCCTCGTTTTGGAATTTTGTTTAATTTCTTTCATTGAGGGAAGTGCTGGCACCATCTGCTGGGACTTTTGTCACTGCAACCACTAAATGCAGAATCATAGAATGGCCTGGGTCAGAAAGGGCTTTAAAGATCATCCCGTTCCAATACCCCTGTGGTGGGCAAGGACACCTTCCACTAGACCAGGTTGCTCAGAGCCCCATCCAACCTGCCCTGCAACACTTCCAGGGATGGGGCAGCCACAGCTTCTCTGGGCAACCTGTGCCAGGACCTCACCAGCCTCACAAGGAAGAATTCCTTCCTAATATCCAATCTAAACCTCCTCTGTCAGTTTGAAGCCATTGCCCCTTGTCCTGGCACTCCAGGCCCTTGCAAATGATCTCTCCCCATCTTTCTCATGGGCTCCCTTCAGGTCCTGGAAGGCCACAATTAGGTAACCCCAAAGCTTCTCTTCTCCAGGCTGAACAATCCCAACTCTCTCAACCTTTCCTCCTATGTTAGGATTTCAGTTCTTGCACCTATAAACATACCAAATATTCCCGTTTTGACCCATATGGCTACTTGGTTATTTGGTTTTGTTTTTTTTTTTTTTTTCCAGATACACCTGGGTTGACTTTAAACTGCATTTGCCAGGCCTCAGCAATTGCCCACAGTCCTGGGTCCTGCCCAGAGAAGACTGGGATGAAAAAATAGCAGCAATGAAAGATGGAAGCAATTCCTTAAGTTTGTGTGAGATTCAGAGCAGGAAACGAGTATCAGTCTGTGACAATATAATCAAACTCTTTTCCTGTAGGTCTCAGAGCAAGATTATAATAAGCTGAGAACCACAGGAACAGGGAATCAAAGTGACAATTAAAGGTCTTTTTAAAAAGATTTTCAATCTTAAATATGACTTTGTAACTGGAAATTACTGTAGTCATTAGATCTGGGAATTATTATAGAAATTAGATCCACAAGCTTGTAGAGAACATAAAACTAGAAGTATCTGTTAATCACCATCTATGTTTGTGTCATATCTTTCATAATTTTTAAATATTTATTTAAATAAAATGAATACAAGAATATGTATAGTATGGATGTATAATATATCCATGCATATACTATTTATTTTAAAAGAACGCATACAATAATATGTGTAATGTATAATATGGGTATATTTATGTGCATAACATAATCATATGAAATTGTCAAAGCTTTGACTCCCAAAGATCATTATATAGATACTTTAATAATTTTGAAGTATTTTACTAGCAATGTTTATTCTGTATTTTATGCCTTGTAATAAATTAAGAGATACATAAATCCTTATGATGGGTGGCTCAGACCTTAAACCTTAAATAGAAACACCTGTTATATTTTAAGAATTTCTCATTTGAATCTCCAGATTTATCAAGGACAGGGGGATTTTTTTTTTTAATGGCCTCAAAATGAAATTACACTCCTGTACAGTTAAAAAAGAATTTTTAAGGTGATACAATGAAAACAGCAAACCAAAATTAATCTAATGAGGTTTTGTACTTTGGGATGACAAAGTCATTCAGCTCTGATTCAACACGTCACATAAACAAAATGAGCAGAGACTTTCTCCGGCAGATGATCATGTTTCAAGTCTTTCTGATGCCCTGTACTAACCTGAACACTGGTGGCCTGCAGAGTATTGCCATTTTGAGGCATTTTCAGGAACTTCTAAATGGAGACATAATGGTGGTGTGGCAGAACAAGGTATATGAAGTCTTGTTTTTGAGCTGAATTTCATCTCTGATATAAGTATGCACCTACATTTGGAAAACTTAAAATGGGAGACTGGGCAGTTCTCACTCAAGCTTTGCTTTCTTGCAGATTTTGTCAATATTTCAAATGTTGGCCTGGCAAAATTTAAAGCGCCAAAGAACTTGATAACGGTTGGCAAAACCCAGCATTAATAATTTGAAACAGATGCCAGACCCACCTGCATTGTGCACCAGGCATTGTGAACAGGGCTTTTGGAGGGAAAGAAAAGCTGCAGCACCTGCCAGTTATCAGGAAAATCGTCCGACATTCACTCTGTAGGGCCATTTCTTCAGTGCAGCCCGAGACACTGCTCAGTGCTTCTTCCAGCCTCATCCTCAATTACTGTGGAGCACATTGTCCTGAGGAATCCGACGGCCCTGGGCAGACGGAGCAGTGATGTCATCGGACTTTTCCATTTCTACTTCCTAGGAACATTTGCCTTATTCTTACATGCCGGCTCTTTCTCGGCATGTTTTAGACTAGAAACATTTTTCTTTTCTGGGCGTAGAGAAGGAATCCCTTCTTTTTGATTTCAGACAAGATCTGGCAAGTGAGCTCTTGTTGCCAGTCAAAGAAAAAGCCTTAAAAAAATTAACACAGAATCTGTGTTTAGCAAAGTGATTTGCATAAGCTATACACTTGGTTCTTAGAGCTGGAACAGTTCTAACCTATGACAAATTCCTCTGTCTGGGCTGTCTTCCAAAATCATTTTCATCTACCCTGGCAAAAGAACTGAAGTCTGCGTTCTGCACTAATTAAAGGCCTTCAGGAGAAGGGCCCCAGTTGAAATGCTGACACACTTTGTACACGCTTTATTTGTGAAAGGGGATACTGAGCCCATTTGATGGCGCCTTCTGCTCTGTCATGCCATGCAAAATTTTAAGTGGGGAAACAAAATGTGTACAGTTATGTCTTGTTAAGATTCTGAGTTACTGAAATGCTGCAGTTCTCCCCCTTAAAAAGCGTGATGTGGAGATTTTCAGACCTTTGAGTGAGTTAAAGGACTAAAACCCATGGCAGTTCCTTAGTGAATATGAAATTATATTCGCAATTTTTTATGAAGTATTATGGTCTAATGGAGCTAAGTCTCTGCCGCCCTAAATGTCTTCATGTTGGAAACAGCAGAATATACACCCAGTGTCCCTTTTACATAAAACTTGGAACGGCTGAAAAGGGAAGGCAGGGAAAACAGCTGTCCCAATAACTATGGATTTCTTCTAGCACGTCTACCCAGTCCCTGTGAGGAAGCTTTCCTTGCTGGATCCATGACAGGCTTCTTAGCTTTTAGGCATCCAAATCATTCAATGGAATTCAGAGTCCTTTATTGAGTAAGGCACCCAGGAAGTCTTTTCTTCTGAAGTTGTTGTTCTAAGTATTCACCATCTGCTTTGGAGATACAAATACACACGCGCTTGGGCTGAGGAGAGATTTGACTCTGGATGTTTACTATTTTATCCAAGTGCCCAGCATGAGGCAAGGAAAGAAACTCCTCCTGTGTGTGGAGCCTCACCTAGGAAGTGTGCTCTGAAAACATTGATTAGACTCAACTCTGCAGCTGAACTACACAGAGAGCTCCTGTGGAGACTAATGGAGCTTAACCAGGGTTCAGTGCACTCCCCCTGGTCAGGGAGAGGAGTGAAGTACATCTATCCAGCAGCAGATGTTCAGATGCTTAGTGACCTGTGGGAAAACACTTGGGAGAGGCAAGGGCACTTAGGCAGCTGCATGGTGTTTGAGGAATTTAAGGAATCCCAGCCCCTGTCTTAGGCTTTTCTCCTTTCTCCTCTTTGATGAGTGCAGAAAAGAAAGAAAAAAAAAAAGGAGGAACAGGAGGATTTGTCTCTAAGATATTCTTGCAGCATTCCTCAGGCTTCACCCTACTTTGCTGCAGCCCTCAGTAAACTATTTCATTGTGAAGCAGGAATGCACTGATTCTGTAGCCTCTTAGACAGATCCAGGGCTTTTGCTAGCAAATAAACCAGCAAACATAATCAACATTCTGCATGAATCCTCATCGTTGCCTTAGGAGGAGGAGGAATTTCAGGACTATTTTCTACGAACCTTAAATGCAAAGTTTCCACGAGTGCAAACGCTCTGCTATTTTTTTGCCGCCATTCTTGGGTGCAGGGAACAATCCTGTCTTGTTTTTGTCCCCAAAAGTATTGACTGTATTAAACACCAGGCACGTGCTTTCAAAAGAAAAGCACCATGAATGCTTACATGTCCCTGCATTATCAGCCACGTGCTCCATCACTGGGAGACAAATGCTCCACTGAGACGCGGCTGGCCTGGACGTCCCACATACCAAGCAGATGCAAGCAGAATGCCATAGGGAAATAAGAAACACATTGTATGCCATTTAAAAGGCTTACAGCTATGGAATATCCTCCTGGAAGCCTAATGAATATCTCCAACACATACGCAATCAAAGCACAAAACGCCCGGCACCGGGATGCAAAACCACAGAACTGGGGATAATCTCGGGAGAGACCCACAAAATAAATCTGCTGACAGCAGCACCTCTAATCATACAGCTCCAGCATTTGGCTTGTCAAAATGTCTCCAGGCTCAGGATTTTCTGTGGAGAGGAAACCGTCCACAGAGATTCTTAATTTTATGCCTCCTGTTTGCCTCTCAACTAAGCTTGTGTATTGGGTTCAAGTCTGTCTTTGTTTTGCTTTCTTAGATGCTAATATGGCCCAGACTGACTTTGACAAAGTTAGTGATTAGAAATTCAGCTTTCTTTCCACAGGACGGGGGGAAAAAAAACCCGAAACACTTAAACAAGCACTTGTTCAAGTGACTGAAAAGTACAGGCTTTTTTTTACCTGGTGACTGTTGAAGTGATAATACCCCATGTTTGGAGCAAGTGGGGAGTATATTAAGGAAGAAAGAAGGGGGAGAGGGGAAAATCTCTCAGGATTAGCCTTCTAGAGGTACTTTTTTGCATAGACTTCCCTGGCTATTCCACATATGAGCTCTTAGAAGTACGTCTGCAGAGTTTCCACCAAAAGCTGAGGTGGCAGAGGTGGCAAATGTGGCAAAGGCAAGGTGAAAGAGGTTAACAAGATAATTTCATCTAGAAAATTTACTCTAGAAATGTGTTAATTCCCAAGTTTTCCCAGTTGCTGTAAAAAGTAAAGGAGTGGCTGGTGTTAAAGCTGTATCGTAGGTGAGAAGCGGGATTCAGCAGGGCAGGCTCAGAGGGTTTCTATCCACAAAACTAGTTGTAACAAGAGCTGTGTCCACTCTGTGGTTAAGCAAGCTAAACCCAGGGGGTGTAAATAGCATTGGTTGTGTTGTTTCTGCTTATCCCTGTGTCCCATGCCTTGTACCAAGGAGCTATGACACACCTTGAGGAGCAGAAAGAGTGTTAAAAGCTTATAAAGCTTTGGAGCAGACACAGCATAGAATTTTTATTTGCAGATCCCAGGAGGTGCCTCAACTTTGGGGGCAAAGCTCTGGGAAAAGGTGTGGGAAGACACCACCAGAAAATAATGGCACAAAAACTGACACTCTCCAGGTTGGCCCTGCAGGGACAGATGATCTGCCAGGAACAAAATACGTACTTTAACACACAGAAAGAGGAAGAAAGGTAACACATAGACAGAGACTAGGCTGAGACCAAGCTGAAATACTTCAGCACTAATTCCTGCTCTGCCACTGACCTGCTGAAGGACCTTGGGAAACTCATTTTGCTTCTATTTTCTTGCTGCTCATAGTATAAACTCTTCAGGGTGATGACTGTCTCTTGCTATACATTTAAACTGCACAAAACCCAACCAAATCGAGCACAGATGGGTGTGAGGAGAGATATGAGTGAAAGAATGTGAAGGAGCAGAAAAGACGGGGAAAGAATGGCCTGAAATGAAAAAAAAGTGAGGAAAAGGGAGTAAAAAAAAATTACAGAAGAGATATGGAGCACAGGCAGATCATGGTCATTCCAAGATGAGCTGATGCCTGCAGTTTTCCACTGTCCAGAGACAGATTTGGAAGTGGGTCGGAGAAAGAGGTGAACAGGCTGAGCAAAGCTTTCCCTTGATCCCAGCAAGAGAACCCTTGCTAACATCATCCCGCCTTTCACCGGCTCTCTGCCAATTCTG